CAGGCAAGGAAACATTAAAAGTGACTGAGAAAAAGAGATGTGTTAGGTATCAGGACAGAGTTTTCACAAATATTTCAGAATAAATCTCATTCACTCTCCAAAATCATTTTGACTGTATCATAGGTAGAACAGGGAGAAGTTTACATTTAGACTTTTGTTTATTTTCTGATATAATATGATTTATGCATTATTTGTGTTTGAACAGGCAGCAGATTTTTATGCAACTGTATTAATTTTGCACATCTGTGCTATCACATTAGACTAAAATATCGCTTTTCATGTTCATGCCATTAAATAAAATTATGAGACTTATCACCCTGTGGCCTGTGACTACCACTGCATTTTGTGTGCCAAGTAATAATTTGTTAATGGGAATGGTGTCTTACTATGTTTATCGTTGCCATTTGAGACGTTATGATCTGGCTACTTAACCTGTAAATGTTCCAGGGTAATTGTGTCAACTCACCCAGAGTTTGGCAGATAAAACTTTAGATTTATTAGTTTAGAAATATAAAATCGGTCCCCTGCTGCTGAACTGTGGCTGTTAGTGATTATGTGTGTTTTTAGCCACTAAGGACAGTTGCGATTGGATGCGGGATGACGATAAATCACTCAACAGACCTCTGAAAAATGTGTCCCTCTGTGTTGGGAGATCACGGTTACGCCCCTGATCCCAGAGGAATCTGATCTGCTGTGATTCCTGAAAGCCCTCATCCTTATTCTTTGGAAACAAATCTCAGCTCGTTGTTATTTATAAACACCAAAGACTCTGGAAACAGAGTCGTAAACAGCAGTAAGTCCGTACCTTTCGCGTGTAAGTTTCTGCCTCCCACTTTTAAATCCTCTGCCCTTCCCTGGTCTCTTTGACTCGATGGATGGGAGCAGCGAAAGAGCCACAAAGGCTAAAAGGATCGGTGAGATCACACGCATCCTGAACACTGCAGGGGGTTTATTTTCACCTACAGGAGCAAAAGTCAAAGCAGGAATCTGTGCTGAAAGTCTTCAGCTGTGTTGGTTTTGATGTAACACAGATTCTCTTCACTCTGTTAGGGGGGGGAAAAAAAGCTCAAGTCAGCACATCATCAAAGTGAAGAGTCATCACATAAAATTCATGTGTATTGAGGTTTATTACCAGTAAGTAGATGAAAACAGAATTTAACAGGCTTTGCTCATTTTGTGTTTTTTTTTTCTTTTCTTCAGGCGAATGCAGAAACCTGCAGGAACTCAACTTGTCAGAGTGCTTAGCTATTACTGTAAGTAAACAAGTAGATGGTTGGAAGTTTGGAGAAAATATTGAAACTAAAAAACTGTGTTTAGATGTATATGAAGTTTTAAGGCTAAAACATTCATCATGTTGATTTAATGCCATCCTGCATTAAATTATAGATTGGCAGGACTTCTGGAAACAACATTCCCCACACAAATGAATCACTCTGACTCATTTTTGTCCAGCAGTAGGAAATCTCTTTTTTTTAAATTATTATTACTACTATTATTTTACAGTGTGAAGAAAAGGAAAGCAAAAGTTTACAGTAAACTTTTTTTAGTGGTTTTAGTTCGAATCTAATGTTACATTTGATCTCAGCTGCTGGTACCCGGATACGGGTATAAAGGCACAAAACAGTTGGCTGAAACTTTCCATCCCACTGTTCACATGTTTAATAATCCTTACAGTACGATGACAGGTTAAGCCTCTGTGTCTAAAGTTTTCCCCGTGGCGTGTATGTTGCCTCAGTTCCACCCTTACATGCTGCTGCCAATCAACTAAACTTTTTCCAACCTCTCAAAACATGCAAGTTTGACTCTTTGGAAATATTTAGCATTCAAAAAGTGAACACGGTTATGGCATGACCAGTAAAGGAGTGCCGCCATAACACTGTTGGGAAGCTAGAAGCTGCATATCTGTTCAGACTTTATTATTGTTTTTTATGTAAAGAAAAAGTGTGGTTGGTTAATTCTAGTTCAGCAGCCAATTCAGACAATGTAGTCAGTTAATGTTAGGTTAACATACATGCTTTACTTCATTAGGAAAAAACTGCAAACACATGTAAGAATCCATGCAATGAGCTTTTTACAACTACCAGATGAAGCAGGAATTTAAAAAAACAGTTCACCAAATAATATTTATTTTAGCCACAATTGAAATTTTGTTTTCTTTGCTACTTTGATATAAAAGCAGTTAGATAATGTTTTTGCTCTAAATTATGATGTAAGTACATCAAAACCCTGATAGTTCTCCCCAACGCTATCAAACCTTTAGAGTTTCATACTAGAAAACGCCAATGTTCGATTATTAACAGCATAATCTTTGTTTTCACATTATCTGAGTGTTAAATGTCTTTCCAGAGAACGAAAACACGGAATGAAATGTTTCCTGATAATAGTCCGCTTCAGAATAAAACATGTAAATCCATCTTTGTGATGTTCAGAGAGACATTTTACGTTGAACTCTGCTCTTTACCAGGATATGATGATTCAGAGAATCACGGAGGGATGTCCATGCCTGCTCTACCTGAACCTTTCTTACACACTCATAACAAACCAGTCTTTGAGAGCAATAATCAGGTAAACCTTGCGAAATAAAAGATCCAGTTTTAGCTTTTTCTACCCTAGATGTACACACATATATATATATATATATATATATATATTTTTTTTTTTTTTTTTTTTTTTTAGTTTAAAAAAGCTTTTTTTTTTTAAAATAAATTTTCAAAAATTTTCCCAGCAGAAACAAAAAAAA